CCCCAAAACCCCAAAACCCCAAAACCCCAAAACCCCAAAACCCCGACATTGGCGTAAGTATTGAATCTAAATTTCTTTCGCACCAGAAATATAATAATATTAAGAACAATTATGCATGACAAAACAGACTTATGAATAGGATGCTTCATATCCTTAGGTACGTAAACAACCAGTAAACTATTTAGTATCAAGTGTAATTGCTACACTTGGATATGCTGTACAGAAGATGGGGCACATGAAAGCCATTGATCGTAGAGCAAACTATCTAAGAGAACCTTTGTGGATATTAGGATTTGGCTTAATCACATGATCCATCCCCATTTACTCCTTTTCCTTGGTCTTTGCCTCTCAGACTGCGATGAGCATGGTGCCTACTTTCTCAATATTATTCGTAATGTTCTGGTCCTGGCTTCTTCTGAATGAAAAACTGACAAAATATGAAATATTTGCTACTCTTTTCCTCGGACCAGGAACTTTTATAATAATTTTAAGTTGTAATGTTGAAGACACAGAAATTAAGTCAAATGCTTTCCATGATTACATATTTTCGAATCAGTCCTTACTATTTCTGTCTATTCTAGCTTCGCTCTTTATCGTTGGAGGGGGCCTCTCGATGCACATCATCAAATCACATGCAAAAATGGATAGAGAGATTGAAAGAACTACAAGTGAAGAGTTGGATGATGAAACTCAAAGTATTGCCAGCTCAAATATTTCTATGGAAGAAGTTCTTAGTTATCGATGGAACTTGGTGCCCATGCTGTACTTCCCATGGTTTGCAGGTCTCTTTTGATGCTTATCTTCCACAATGACTAAGTCTTGGTTCCTTCTTCTCCAGGAGAGACTTCTAACCCATACAAACTTCTTCGGCAAAATTGGTGATGTGCAAGGGTTAGTGCTATTAATGAACATTTTATTCTTTACTTTCTTAAGTTTCTTCCTTCTGAATAAGGCTTTATACTATTTTGAGCCTATCTACGTGCTCCCTTTCGAGAAGGTTTCTCTTCTTATCAATAACCTACTCTGAGGAGGGATTATTCTTGACGAATTTACAAAAATATCGACTAGGCAGATTATCGGATTCGTCATTGGTACCATCCTGTGCATCATCGGTGTGTTTATATTCCTCAAAAAGAAAGATAAGTCCATTCAGATGAAGGACTTCATGAAAGAAGAAATAAATGAATATCAAAAATGTAAAATGACTGGGAAAGGATCATAAAAATTATCACTCTAATATTCTCTATTTAATGCTTCTCTTCTGGGGTTTTGGGGTTTTGGGGTTTTGGGGTTTTGGGGTTTTGGGG